AGCTAAAGCCACTTCAGCATGAGTTCAATCCCCACCTTGGAGGTGACCATATAGCACGGCAGACCTTTCCTGACCCTTCCGCTGCTCCCCTCAGCAGTGTACTTTGTCAGTCGGCCTGTTCTGCTCCCCAGTCTGTCTCTGGTGAATCCTCTCACTGCCCCTGCACCTCCGGCCTGTACCCCAATTCTGTATGCATAAATAAATAAATCTTAAAAAAAAAAACCTGCAAAAACTGAAACCACAGGTAAGAAGGGACTACTTATACACTAATGTTTTTAAGCACCTCAAAGATGTCTTTTTATTGTTTTCTGCCCTTTGATTTTTATGAGAAGGTAGGCATCATTCTTATTATTGCCTACTTGTTTCCTGTTTTGAAATTTCCTCTTTATCTTTTTGATTTTAACAATCTGACTACAAGTCTGTTGTTATTTTTTTTTTTTTCATCCTGTGAGTGGTTTGCTGAACTTTTGAAAAATGGGTTGATGCTTTTTACCAAATGTGAGAAAATTCCACATACTAGATCATTTCAACACTATTTACCTCTTTGCTTTCTGGAATGCCAGTGATTTATATGCTAGACTTCTTAATATTGTTCCACAGAACACTGAGAGCTCTCTTCACTTACTTTAATTCTTTTAGTCTGTGCTTCAGTGACGATTATTTCTGTTGAACTGTTTCCAGATTTAGTGATAGCATTTGTATTAGTGCTAAAATTGTTGATGTTTAATAAAATTTTCATTTTAGATTTGTTTTTAGCTCTGGAATTTATACTTGTTTTTCTAACTTACATTTATTTGCTGAATGTTCCTCATGTATTCAGTCATTCTACTGTGATTACTCTAAATCCTTTAACATACTTATAATTTCTGTAAATTCCTGACTGCCAATTCCAATGCCTGGGTCACCCAGACCTCTGCTTCTATGGATGCTTTTTCTCTTAATTTTAGCTTATCTTTTCCTTCTTCCTGCTGATTCTACAATAGTTTGGACTTTGACTTTGTTAGAGTATTTGTTTTGCTTTTTCCCTTAGCCTGAGGCAGCTATTACTCCCAAAGTTTGGACCTTCTGCAGTTCAAATAGAAAACCTTAGGTGTTTATCAACCACTCTAACTTGGCAGGACTTGCACTCAAATCTCAACGCAACTCAACTGCTAACATCTCTGCTCAGTTCTTCAGTCTCCTAGTAATGGATTCTGCTTACTTTCTTTGAATATTGTCTATATGCAGTTTAGAAGACAATAAAAATATTTTTGCCTACCTTCTGCCTGAGAGGAGGGACCCTTCTTTCTGAGATTCTACCCTTCTCCCTAAATATACAGCTGCTTTGGTAGTCTTGAACTCTGACTTCTGTTTATTCATCCTAGTAAGAATGTTATTTTTGTTTAACCTCTATCCCCCAGTATCCCAAGCTTTCCCTTCTTTTCAAGGGTAGCACTTCTATTGCTTTCCAAGGAATATTTCCGTTCATATTTTATATAAAGCTTATAACTGCTATTATTAGAAGGGTTGTCCAATAAAAGTTACTCTGCTGTTACTAGAACCCTATTATTTTCTCCAAATATTTTTTCTGTGCTTACTCTTTGCCCCTACTTATTCTGAGACTCTATTTACACATATATTTTGCTATCTGAAGTTGTTTCATAGTTCACTGGTGTTTTATTCATTTCTTTTCAGTCTTTTCTTTTTCTCTATTTGACATGGAATGTTTTTTCTTGGTATAAATTCAAAATCACCAATCATTTTTTTTTATGATGCCACAGTACTATAATCCCATCCACTCTGTTCTTCAGATTCTGTAGTTTTATCACTAAATGTTTTTTTGACATCTAATACCTTTCATATCTGTATTTAACAGGTTCAACATTTCCTTTAGCTTTTTAAACAGATGCACTACATTGTTTTATGTTAAACAAGTTCCTGTTTACTAATTTCAGCATCCATGCAATTTCTGGGTCTGTTTCAATGGACTGATTTTAAGGTTTTTTTTTTTGTTGTTGTTTGTTTTTTAAAGAGCTGTTTTAGGTTCACAGCAATATTAAAAGAAAGGTACACAGATGTTTTGAATATTCTGTGTTACCAGATATGTAGTGCTTCCCCTATTATTAACATCCCCCACCAGAATGGTACATTTGCTACAACTGATGACATATTACATAGACACATCATTATCACTCCATTTCCACAGTTTACACTGGGTTCAGAGTTGCACATTTTATGGGCTTGAACAAATGTATGACGTATATCTACCATTGCAGTATCAAGAGTATTTTTACTACCCTAAAAGTCCTCTGTGCTCTCAGTATGCGTCCCACCCTCATCCCTGATCCCTGGCAAGCACTCATCTTTTTATTCTTTCCATAGTTTTACTCTTCTAGAATGCTACATGCTGATTTTTCCTCTCCTTTTTATGACTTGTACTTTCTTGCATGCCTGGTAATTTTTGATCAAATCCAGATACTGTGAATTTATCATGTTGAGTGAGATATTTTTGCGACCCTTAACATATTTTTGAGCTGTGTTCTGGGATGTGGTTAAAATACTTGGAAATAATTTCATATTTTTAAGGCTTTTCTTTTAAGCTGTGTTAGGTGGGATTAAAGGAGTAGTTACTGTAGGGTTAACTTTTCCCCCAATGCAGAGGACAAGACTTTACATAGCACTTTCTATGCTGCCCTATGAAAAATAAAGCACTATTTCTGGTTCGATGTGAATTTGGGCACTGCTACCCCTAAATCTGCTGGAACATTCTTTTTTTGGCCTTGTGTACTTTCCTATTCAGTTTAATACTCAAAGTTGCCTTCTACAGGTCTCACAGACTTGGAGCTAGAGAGCTAGGAGGCTCTCTCTGTCCAGTACCCGTCCTGTGAACTCTAATCAACTTCCCTGGTCTCCTGACTCTCTCTTTAACTCAGAGACCACTGAGCTCTGCGCCTCGGTTCCTCCACCTTGCACTATGATTGGAAACCTTCTCCTGCTGTAATTTGAGGGCACTCCTAAGGTTTACATTTGCTTCTTGTGTTTTAGGACTCATTCTCCTTCATTGCTTGATGAATATCTTTAGAAGAACTGTTTTATATATTTTCTCCTCTCCCAAGATTAATTCTGTCAGAAGTAGAAGTCCCTATATTACCTTTCTAAAATAAAATAAAAAATTCTAAATTTTGAGAAATGCCAGGCAAAGGGATTTGGATATTTGAATATAGAATAATAGAATTGTATATACACACTTGCAAAAGTAGTACATAGAAGAGTTGGTCTCCTTATATCCTTACCAAAATAAAAACCTAAGTATTTTTTAATGTATGTGTTTAATATGTATTCTTAAAAATGTATCTGTTTAAAACATTTTAAAATGTGACAAATTGCCATTTTAACTTGTATTTCTCTGACCACTGGTTTTTTTTTTTTTATATTTTATTGGATAAAAGATTTCTTTTCCTCATATTCATCATCAAAGCATTAATCCCTAAAAAGACTGGAAAAATTCTGTGGGTATTATTATCATCATTCGGTCTGTTAGACACAAAACTTTTTGGATCAAAGATATCACACAAATTTGCAGGGCTTCAAGGATCTGACTGTTATGCTGTTTGGCAAAGAAGTAGAAATTGGACTCTCTCCATTTTTCACAATCTGGACTAATATCCAGAGATATGGCTGTTTACATTGTCTAGTTCTCTTATTAGGTGGTAAGCCTCAAGTTATTGGAAACTATGTCTGTATTTATTTGTTTGCTTATTTCCCAATATGTAATTAGTATCAAGAATAGTGTTTGGCACAAAATAGGTACATGCTAAGTATAGGCCAATGTAACAAATCACTAAGTAATACAGTATATAAACAAGACTTTAGAAAATGGTCAAAAAAATCTCTTCCAAAAGATTTATTTATATTGGGATCACTACTGAGATATGTTAATCTCCATTTAATTTACAAGTCTAATTTAGGAAATATTCTTTCTAATTAAGGAGATATTCACCAAAAACTGAAATGTCCATTTAATATTTCATTTTATATTAACCTATTTGTTTATAAGAGGGATCTAAAACTCTTTAAAAATGGATAAATGAAAACAGGGCATTAATAGCAGTGTTTCTATTTCATGAAACAGCATGTAAACCAAACCTCCATTTGAAGTGGAAATTCCAAAATAAATAAGCCATGTACAATGGTTAGTAGAAAATTATTAACAGTGAGCATAAACAAATGTTATTTATTGAATAATTCTTGGAAGATATAAGTACTTCCCTCTGATGTTAGTTATAAATTTATTCTCAAAAGCAAACATTTTCTCAGATAATTCTAAGAATCAAGAGATAAAGCCAATTCCAACTGTGACTATTACAGGAGTGGTAGGCAACCATATATTTCCATTCTCCTTCCTACTAAGATGTTTACTTCTTACCAAAAAATTTTAAAAAATCTGTTATTTGACTAATGTACCTAGCCCTTTACTGACAAAGGATGGTTAATACAGATCTGAAAGCTATTGTACAGTTTTCTATGCATGCCTAAATGCTCTTTTTAAAAAAGTCTTAAAAGGAGCAACAACCTGAATGCTTCTGGTACATCACAGTGTGTTAGTCTATTACCAGTTCTCAAGCCCTGTTAATACTTTAGTTATACCAAAACTAAAATGCAGGAAATCTTCAATTATGTTTCTTTGACTTGGTATCAGCTGCCTGATGAGTACATTAATACTGTAGTGTTTGTACTTGCTGACCTTTCTGTCAAGGGATCTTGAGTATGCTCATATCTGTACACCTCTATTCTAGATCTTAAGTTTTCTAAAGGCAGAAAATGTCTCTGTTGCTCTCACAATCCTGCTTTACAGTGCTTGACAGAGAGAAGAGGCTCTCCAAGCACTAAATAGGACTGAACACGTAATATACCAGATACCACCAGGTAAATTTGTTGAGCTCCAAGATATAAATAGGGGCAGGCATGAAAAACAGGGGAAAGAAAAGACCATCTTCACCCTGGCATGAAGTAAGTCTTACCTGTGATGGAGTTATCCTTCCCTTTTTCATTTCAGATGAATTTTCACTTAATTTTCCTACTTTGTTACTTGAGCTGCATTTGTAGCATGTCCACCTTGTCTGTCCCTCAACTTCTATGGTACACTCTTTGCTTTGTAGACAGAATGAGTGATACAAATGACCACAGCTGCAAAATAAAGGCAACCTATTTGTCATTCATTTACATAAAATTGATCAACATAAGCTATGATACATAAGTATTTATAAGATATAAAGATTTCTAATAAGCTGGAATGCACTGATGGGTTGTGCAGGTTAAGAAACAAGAAAGAGGGCCCTCCCTTGTGGCGTAGCAGGTTAAAAGCACAGCACTATGAAGCTACCGACAGCCACTGCAGCACAAGTTCAGTCTCTGGCCAGTGAAGACACCCCATGGCGTGGCAGACCTCTCCTGATCCACCCGCTGCTCCCTCAGCAGTGTATTTCATTAGATCTGCCTGTTCTGTTTCCTGTTCTGTCTCAGGTGACTCCTCTCATCCTTGCACCTCTGGCTGTACCCAATTCTTGTATGCATAAATAAATAAATATTTCAAAAATTAATTTATTTTTTACAGCATTATTCATTTTGTGCATTTCTTCATCTCTGTTGTAATCCCCATAGCTTCCCACCACCAATTCACCCATGAGCCAACACCACAGTCCCATGTGCTCTTCCCAGAGTTTTGATTCCATTCCCCTCTCCACCTTATAACATGTCTCTGGTTTAAAGTTGTTTCGTTTTTACGTTATTACAATTAAATAAATCTTTTAAAAAATAAATGCAAAACAAGAAAGAGAATTCAGTCGTTGCTGTCTTTTCTTTTTTTTAAATCCAGATTCATATTTTATAAGCTTAAATTGTATGTAGGGGTAGTATCACACTTCTCTGAATAAAAATCACCTGGGGGATGGAGCTGGACTTCTGTTTACTTCTCAAACTAGGGAATATTTTTAGGCAGTTTGCAGAAAACCAGTTAGTAAAGTCATACTTATGTTTACATAAGTTTTTGATAGTAACACGAGTGGTGTGCCTCATCAAATTCAAGTCAAGACTGATAATTGATCAAGCATTTACAAAAAGGTCAGTGCTAATGTAAATCTTACACTGATCTTATGAAGAAAATCCCTACTGATTACCCTAAATTACCAAACGAGACCCCAGAAGTAAGAGCGGTGTATACCTTAGCCTTCTTTACTGATTCCTCATTTCCCCAATCTGAAATGCTGCCCTACCATAGAAGTCAAGCCTGTACTCTTCTCTAGTCTTTCTATATAACATTCTCTTCTAATACGTTTTTATAATTGGTCTCACTCTTTTAGTGATTACTTCTAGTTCCATAACTTGAAGAAACCACCTACATGCTGATGACTGCCAAATTTATACCTTCAGCCCAGACTTCCATCCTAAGCACCATCTATCTGTCTCCTTAAGAACTCTAATTTGGGTGTCTAACAGACATCTTAAATTTAACGTGCCCCAAAACAAATTCTTCATATCTACCCACTCCACCCCCACCGCATGCTCTCATCTAACCTTCTACATCTCAATAAATAGCAAGTACATTCTTCTAGCTTTCAGGCCCAAAACTTTGCAGTCATCCTTGACTCTTTTCTTTCTTTGATATCTCACTTCTAATCTATAAACAAATCTTACCAATTCTACCTTCAGACAATATCCAGAATCCCACCACTCTTACTTTATGATTGTCACCTTGGGCCATCTCACTTGGATTAATGTAACGGCTTAACTGGTAACTCTGACCCCTGACCTTCACTAGTCCATTCTTAACATAGCACTCAAAGTGATCCCTAAGACAGAGGTCAGAAAATGTCAATGCTATCCTCAAAAACATCAAAAAGTTTCTCATCTCAGAATAAAGGTACAGCTCCTTAGAATGACCCACTTTGTTCCACATGATCTGGCCTCTCTGAGCATGCAGAGAATGCTCCCTGGCCATGGCCTCTGCATGCTTCCTAAACTATATGGTCACTTCCTTTAGGTCACTACTCAAATGTCACTTAAACAACAAGCATTTTCCTTTCTACTGTTCATGAGTCTATGAAAGATCAACATTCTCTTTCCTCTATGCCAAGTTCTGTTTTATTCATAGTAATAGCTTTATTAATTAAATTGTCTATTCATATGTCACCTCAATAGTGAAGCTTTTCCTGACCATTCTACATAACATAGCTTCCTCCTAAACACTCTGTAGTTCACCTAACTTTTTTTTTCCCACAGTAGTCGCTTCCTGGTCTTTGACTTGTCTACCTCTCTCACTAGAATGTAAACTCCATGAGAGCAGACCCCTTGTTTTGGCCTGGCATGCAATAGGTGCTCAGGAAGTTTGTAGAATGAGTGGACTCTTTGGTGACGAGAACTTCTTCTAATCACCAAACCTACTGATTTTCCTGTATTTATAATAGTTGCTAACTTACTTAGTGCTTACTATATGTCAATATGGCTATAAATGTCTTATGTAAATTGTCTCATTTAAGCCTCACAAAAACACTAGGAGGTAGATACCATTATTATCTCATTATACAGATGAGGAAATTAAATGAAGAGATTGTAAAGAGATTAAATAATTTGTCCAGAGTTGCATAGCTTGTAAATGGTGTCAGGATTTGAATTCAAGTTTGGCTCCACAGCCCAGAGTATTATCACCTCTATCTGTATATTCTGGACATTGCTTTCTTTGCTTTTGAGATCAAACCTTTCACTTTTGCCGTAGATTTTTTCCTCCCTTTGCATTGCAGCTTTAAATATCATTAATATTGATGCTTTCTAAATTTAAATTTCCGGGACATATCTCCAGACTAGAGGAACTGCCTGCTTGACATTTCCACGTGGATGTTACACAGCCATCTCAAATGTAAACTCTCCAAGATGAAAGTCTTGATTATCTACAATTCCTCATGAAGATTCTTCTGCATCCTAGACAATGATACCATGTTTAACCAGTAGCTCAGTCCAAAGACTTTGCTTTTCCCTTTTACTTCGCATACAATACATCCACAAGACAGCTCTCTGCTTAAAATATATCCTGAGCCTTCATTCCTACCTGTCTCATTCTGCTCAAATGTCACATTCTTAGGGATGTTTTTCCTTGTTATGCTATCTTAAAATAGCGTACTGAACTTTTCATTTTTCCGTTCCTTACACTGTTTCCCTTTTCTTTATAACTCCTATTACTTTGTTTATGTATTTATCACTGACCTCTTGAACACTCACTCCCTCTGACCCCCATGCAGCATGTCAGCTCTATCAGGGCAAGGGCTTTGCCTTGCTTGTTTCACTGCTAAAATGACCAACTAGGTAGTGTGTTCATGTGTATTCCTGCCTGGTTGTACCTCACATGTAATATTTCTTTTCCTTTCTTACCTAAAGACAATAATTTCATCAGTCATTTCTTGGCGTCTTTTGTACTGCTGCAAACATATAGAGCAGTAATCCTGCTTGGGATTCAATCCTCGAGTCACTGAAGCCCTCAGGTTGCACAATGACCAGTGGAGATCTTGGTTTAGAAGACTAGTTGTTGTTTCTAACAGGGTCTATGAAAGATCAAAATAAAAAGCCAACAAACAAATTTTCAAAGTGAAAGAGACAGAGGGCATGACCAGAGAACTAGACTTGGATAGTTTTCAACCCCAAACAACTTTAGTTAGAAAACATTATAGAGAGATGAAACATAAGAGCAAACATAAAAAAAACCTGAGTGGCTACTTTTAATGTGTAATGACAAGTGAATGTATTAAATTCCCAAAATAATTACTAAAAGGCTGTCACTAGCATCTACAGAAAAGTGCACTCTACCATTCCTTTGCTCAGTTCAGTACTGATGACTTTTGAATGACTGAAGAAACACAAATATACTTAATACATTTAATAACAACTTCTCCCTGGATGCCTCAAAAGTGCTGTAACAAATAACATAAAAATCCTTACTTTTTTTTAATTGAAACTACATCCTTGGCAATAATCCAAATAACCTTTCACTGCAAAAGCTAATGGCCATTACTCAGTTTTCATTCCCTTGGGCAGACAGATCACATTTTCTTAATCAGCACTTACAAGTCACTTGACTCTACTCAAGACTGTGACATCTGTCATTAAGTCACATAAAGACGTTTTCATAGCTATTACATTAAGTCATTTTAAGACTCTATGTGCTTATAAACTGTTGTTTTCCTACTACAACTAGTGCTTAGCACTCATATAATGATTTAGATAAGCCGTCGGGGTCCTATCTGTCAATCTCTAAGGGGCAGACAGAGTTGGTACTATCCATCCTCCTTGCTACATAGGCCAGTCCTTTAGCCATAACACAGAACTTTTAGATTTGATGATCTCTGTTGTAATTCTTTCTAATCACCCCATCATTTCCTCCTCTTTCAGAGTTACAAAGTTAGCAAAAATTTTCTGCCTTGTACTCAGTTTTTCTTCTGCCAACATGGAATCTCTGCCTGTAGGGGTATCAGCTTCACTGGGCTGCACTTAGCAAAATTGCAGTTCTTATAACACCCTTAGAAAAGCTGTCACCCAATTTTTCCTTTCTTTTTTCAGATTATTAAAAAAGCAGACATTGTATCTTACATGCCTAAATGGCACTTTTCCTTAGTGGCTTCAAGAGTGACTTTGAAGTACCCTAAGAAAAAAATCTGCATACTACACTGGCTCCTGTGAGAATTAAAGCTATAGGCAATTTTGAGTTAAGGGAAGACTAATGACCATTTTCGGTTAGTGGCAATTATCTGCTTCAGAATGTTTAAGTTTAATTTTATTTTGTAATTCCCTAGGGGGAAGGGGGTATTGTTTCTTCCCTTTTTCATAGATTATATCTTTGTATTCAATTATTTTCCCAGAAAGTTTCTCTCACTCTTCATTTGTCTCACTAAGAATCAAAATGATGCAGTGAATGCAAATTTGATGCATTTCCACATTCTAGAATATGTATATGTATATAATGTATAATTAATTTATTAATGTCAAGAGAAATTTAAAAATTGAAAAAATTTCAGTCTATCAGACTTCTACTAAACAGAGAATGATATCTAAAGAAAAAGTATAGCTACAAAGAAAAACCAAATTCTTTCTACCGTAACACAGGCTTAGAAACAGAAAATAGCTTACTTGTTCATAATTGAAGGTATCTAACATTCCCAGAATAAGACCCTGGATTTCTCCAAGTTTTCCTTTTCCATAAACCGGATCCTATTTAGGAAAAAAATGCAAATAAATAAATAAATAAATGTTATGATTCTTGGTATTTTTACATTTTTTGAAAATATCAGTTATCTAAGTAAGTTAAATACTCTTTTAAGTATTTTTCTACAACCACAAAATATTTACTCTTTCATGAAACTTCTGCTAGAAATGCATATCAGTCTCCCTCTGGCCATCACAAATATTCTGGAAAAATAAATAAAATTTAAATGACCCAAATATCTTGCTTAACAATCTTCTTTGCAAGTCTAATTAAATTTTACTCCGGTTTTGTTTCTACAAAAAGCTTCTCCTCTGTCATATTTAACAACACCGATCCTTCTTTTAGTTCTTATTTATCTGCTATATTAGAACGATTATACTCATTAATACCTAGACTGTCAACAATTTCTCTGTAACCCACATTTATCTACTTCCAGATGCAAAACACTAAATTATTTCAGGTTGGAAAATCAGTTTCTGAATACAAAGAGCAGTTTCCAGTTTTTCAAACCTTTATTTCAATAAAATCATAACAGAAAAACTACAGATACCCAGACACTCAATCTTGCCTCTACTGCCTTTTATATAAGTTATTCCACATAATTTGTTTATTACATTCAATTTAGGAAACAATGAAGTGAACAAAAATAACACCAATTGAACAAATAAAAAACTGAAATCCAAACTAGAGACAAACACTACTGATATTTTTATATAGATTTTCCAATCTTGTTTCTGGGGAAGAAAAGGTGAGTAAGAGAGGGGTACTTTTCTTAGTATTGTAGAATTTGAGCATTTTGTCTAATAATACATACATACACATACATACATACATATATATATATATATATATATATATGTTTTTACTTAGTAGTATAGTGTTAGCCAGTTCCCATATAATCACATATTTTATGAATGCAGATTATGAATCATGTGAAAATACATGTGTTCAACCATTTCCTAATGGAGGACATTTGAGCTCTTTCCCAAATTCCACCTTTTTTTTAAAGATTTTTTTATTTATGCAAACAGAACTGGGGTACAGGCCAGAAGTGCAGGGGTGGTTAGAGGATTCAGCAGAGTCAGAGTGGGGAGCAGCCAACAGACAAATTAAGGAAGTACACTGCTGAGGGGAGCAGTGGGCGGGTCACAAGAGGTCTGCTGCATCATGTAGATCACCTCTGGGGCGGGGGATTGAACACATGCTGAAGTGGCTTTAGCTTCTTAGTGCTGTGCTTGAAACTGCTGTGCCACCAGGGAGGGCCCCTACCCACTATTCTTATGCAATTTTGATCTGATTCTTTGATTCTTTCTTTAGAGGGGATTTCTAGAAAGGGAATTATAGGCTCAATTACAGATTTTTATGGGTACCTATATCACTAACTTGCTCTACCAGAAATTTGTATTTTGCAATTTTCATCTCCAATAGTGTATTTCTTTGCTCATTTTACTATGAGAATTATCTAATAAATGAGTATGTCAATTATGTCACTTTATTTTATCATGATGTTATGTAAGACATAAATGGCTCTTCCATGCCAAGTAGTGAAATAGGGATCTACAACTATTAAGTATTGATAAAAACACTTATTTGTTAAATGGGTAGCATATATGAAGTAAAGTGCTGAGAACTTTCTATAGGCCATTATCATTAAATTCCTTTCAGAACATTTGTAGATGAAGACATTCATGGTGGCGCAGCGGGTTAAGGCACTGCACTAAGAGGCTTAAGTCACTTCTGCATGAGTTCGATTCCCACTTGCCCCAGAGGAGATCCACATGGCGTGGCAGACCTCTCCTGACCCGTCCGCTGCTCTCCTCAGCAGTATACTTCGTCGATCTGCCTCTTCTGCTCCCCACTCTGTCCCTGGTGAAGCCTCTCATCCTCCGCATCTCTGGCCTGTACCCCAGACCCCAGTTCTGTACGAATAAATAATCTTTAAAACAAACAAACAAACAAAAAAAAACTCAAGGAACATGAGGGAAAGAAAATTAAAAAAAAATATATAAGATCAAAAATTTAAATTTTTGAGAGTTTAAATTTAGTATTTCAGAAAACATGTTTTGATTAACACACTAGATTGGCCCCCCAAATATAGATCTATAAACAAATTAAAAAATAAGCTAACATTTGCTCAAAAGTATGGGCAACACTTCTGGTTACTTCCTAGAGTATAAGGGCTATTAAGATCTTGGGACAGTAAGAATGACTAAAAACTTGAGAATTTACATTCCTGTCCTCATTCACCATGGTCCCAGAATTTGCTTCTTTTCCCCTGAGTTCAAATGATAGCTCTTGAAGAATAAGCCGGTGCTCTTTCTAACTAACTTTGGTTTTTCTGTATTTTCAGTTGGTCTATAGCAGCAGGAAATTGTCTCAGGTTCCTGGTCTCTGACTCACCAGCTTATAACAAAGAAGCCAAAGGTAGAAAATGACTATGTATATTATATGTACTGATTAACAAGTTTCTGATTTTGGGCTCAAATAGGTCACGTTAGTTTAATGAGAAATTTTCTGTTTCAGAGATAGAGACTATATCACTTAAACTAAAGATACCTGTCAAACAAGTGCAAACCAAATAGAGCTTACAAAAGGTAAGACTTCAGATATCTTAGATGAACCCTTCTCCTTACTAGAAAAACAACTCAGGCCAAACTTCCACCAGACAAATTTTTGTTTAAATTTTCTTTTTCTTTTTTTTAACTTTGTGAATTTTCTTATTGTAGGTTTTTTTTTTTTTTACATCATTCTTCATTTTGTGCATTTTTTCATTTCTGTTGTCATCCTCATGGGCTTCCCACCACCAATTCACCCGTGTGCTATGACCACAGTCCAGTGCACTCTTCCCACCCCAGTTCTGATCCCATTCTCCCTTCCACGCCCATAAAATGTCTATGGTTTATAGTTGTTCATTATTTTCATTTTTACTTTACTATCTTTGTTTGTCTTTCTCTCTCCCCGGTCCCTTATGCTCCTGCTATGAGTGAAACAATCTGGTATTTTTCTTTTTCTTTCTGGCTTATTTCACTAAGCATGATCCCTTCCAGCTCCATCCATGTTGCTGCAAAAGGTATGAGTTTATCTTTTTTGATTGCTGAGTAATATTCCATTGTGTATATATACCGCATCTTTTAAACCCAGGCTTCTATTTTTGGGCATTTGGGTTGATTCCATGTCTTCCCTATTGTAAATAGATCAGCAATAAACATGGGGGGTGCAGTTCTCCTTTTGAATCAATGTTTTTGTGTCCTTTGGGTAGATACCTAGGAGGGGGATTGCTGGATCATATGGAAGCTCCATTTTTAGCAGTTTGAGAAACCTCCAAACAGCTTTCCATAGTGGTTGTTTCTTTGCAAAAAAAAAACCAGATCCATGTTTACATTTCTGAATTTATACTCAATTATGCTTTGGGTTAAGCCTTAATGAACACACTTATTCCTCAAAGTATTGAAGGACAATGTACAATCTTATTCTATAAATGTACTATATGAGACTGAGGCACTAATATCTGCCATATTATGTGTATCTGATGCACTAATAAAGCTCCAGCATAAAAAAGTTCTGTCATTTGTTTATGACAACAGCAGTTGGAGAATGAAGAGGTCTGTAAAAAGCTAAGTTCTGGGGAAAAAGAGAAATCTTTATAGGTCATACCTATATTTATATCAGTGCATTTCACTTTAATATGCATAATTTAAAGGCAAAAATCATGAAAATTACCACATACTGGGACAACATATAAATTATACAATGCAAAAGGAAGCTCAAGGCTTCAAGCACAGCAGGTACCCAATCTACTAGCTTTTCAAATTATTTTCCAAAGATTTCAGCTTGATTTTTCAACAGTGAATAACTGCTGAGGCTCTTCTTTAACTTGTTTGTAAACATGAAAGAAGAACACACTTGGGTACTTTACAGAAACTTAGTTTCTAAAAAGCACATTAGAAAAAAATGTGATGATTATTTTTTTCTACTGCTTTGTAGTATCTATTGTATCATGTATGTGGTCTATTTTCAAAATAAATCTTTACTAGTCAAGCATTACTTTAAGACAGAAATAATACTCCCTGCAGTTAATTAGTACATATAGTGATTCTCTTATCTTAAATGTCTCATATAAATCATTTGTTTGCTTTAATTTCCCCAGTAAGGTGGTCATAAACCATTTCTCAGAAACCAACAATTACTTTTGTTAGAGTGTTGCTTAATAAGAGCAAGCAGTGAGGACAGACTGTATATAGTAAGTGCCATTACAATCACAATCACCTAATGTTTATAAAAGAAAACTACAATTCAGGCCCCAGGTGTCAGTCTGAATAAACATTTAGAGTTCAAGAAGAGCTCTGTGAACCTCTCACATGAACACCTCATCTAGAAAAATTGAAAAGAAATGAGCAACTATGCATCTAAATAATTTCATTCCCTATCTTCTCTCTTATAAAATGAGATGGTATGAAAAACACTATGGCAGGAATGATGTCACCAACATGGCCATGAAGAGTTGCTGGGATTACGTTCCCTCTGGGGTATAAGGGATTTAAGTAAAAAGGGAGAAACTTCAGCCAAGACTAGGACATTTTGAACAGGATTGGTGACACAGGGGAAGCAGGAGGAAGGTGAAAGCAACAGAAAAAGAAACATGTGGGAGATATTGACCAGGACCCAGTCCCCCCTCCCCCACCCCCTACAAACCTGGAACACCTCCATGAAGGAAAGAAAAGGAGGAGAAAAAAAAAAACAAACCTGAAAGCTACTGGGAAAAGCTGAAACATCTGAAAACCCTAGAGAGAAACAAAGGTCAGCAGTTTGTGTGGAGGGGAGCAGGACTACTACAGATCTGGGGGGAGGGGGGGACCTGTAGGAAAGGTCTTGCATGGCTGGGAGCAGGGCAGGGGCCTGGCTGCAGCCTGAAGGATCACTTGGTCCCCTGATACAGTCAGAGGTGGGGTGGTAGCACTCCCTCCTTGAGCAGCGATTCTATGATACTGGAAGCCAGGGAGGGAGT